AGGGAACCTTTCAAACGGAAAACCCGGAGCAGCCTGGCCCGTGGGTGCAGCCCTGCCGTGGGCCACCGGCCGGCTGTGCGAGGACCCGGCGCCGGTCCTGGTCAAGTTCAGGGCAGAGGCGCCTGTTTGTGAGTGTGAGTGAGGGTGTGTGTGCCTGAGCGTAGGATGCCGTGCACTGGGTCTCTGTGAGCCCGTCGGTGTGGGTGTGTGACTCGGTGTGTAAATGTGTGTGAGTGTATACGAGTATGTGTAGCTCTGAGGTCTGAGTGTGCTTCTGCATACATGTATCTCTGGGAGTGTGTGTCTCTGAGTGCATCTGTGTGTGAGTGCATCTGTGAGTGTGTGTGTCTCTGAGTGCATCTGTGTGTGTGAGTGCATCTGTGTGTGTGTGAGTGCATCTGTGTGTGTCTGAGTGCATCTGTGTGTGTGTGTGTGAGTGCATCTGTGAGTGTGTGTGTCTCTGAGTGCATCTGTGTGTGTGTGTGAGTGTATCTGTGTGTGTGAGTGTATCTGTGTGTGTGTCTGAGTGCACCTGTGTGTGTCTGAGTGCATCTGTGTGTGTGTGTGTGAGTGCATCTGTGAGTGTGTGTGTCTCTGAGTGCATCTGTGTGTGTGTGTGAGTGTATCTGTGTGTGTGAGTGTATCTGTGTGTGTGTCTGAGTGCACCTGTGTGTGTCTGAGTGCATCTGTGTGTGTGTGTGTGAGTGCATCTGTGAGTGTGTGTGTCTCTGAGTGCATCTGTGTGTGTGTGTGAGTGTATCTGTGTGTGTGAGTGTATCTGTGTGTGTGTCTGAGTGCACCTGTGTGTGTCTGAGTGCATCTGTGTGTGTGTGTGTGAGTGCATCTGTGAGTGTGTGTGTCTCTGAGTGCATCTGTGTGTGTGTGTGAGTGTATCTGTGTGTGTGAGTGTATCTGTGTGTGTGTCTGAGTGCACCTGTGTGTGTCTGAGTGCATCTGTGTGTGTGTGTGTGAGTGCATCTGTGAGTGTGTGTGTCTCTGAGTGCATCTGTGTGTGTGTGTGAGTGTATCTGTGTGTGTCTGAGTGTATCTGTGTGTGTGTCTGAGTGCATCTGTGTGTGTCTGAGTGCATCTGTGTGTGTGTGTGTGAGTGCATCTGTGAGTGTGTGTGTCTCTGAGTGCATCTGTGTGTGTGTGTGAGTGTATCTGTGTGTGTGAGTGTATCTGTGTGTGTGTGAGTGCACCTGTGTGTGTCTGAGTGCATCTGTGTGTGTGTAAGTGCATCTGTGTGAGTGTGTCTCTGAGTGAGTGTGTCTCTAAGTGAGTGTGTGTGTGCCGTTCATGGTCGCCTGGCTGTGGACCCCCTGGTGCCTGACTTTGGGCTGTGTTGGACCCACACTCTGGACTAGGGGAGCCCCCCTGGTGCCAGCTGAGGCGGGTGCAGACGCCTCTCCCTCCCCCTCTCTCTTTCTCTGAAAATGAACGATAGGCTTTGGGGTGAGTTGGCAGGGGCTGCTTCCTGAGTGAGTAATATTTAATTAAACACTCCAGCCGGTAGCATCAGAAACTGGTCATGAATTGAGTTTTAACAGGTGTTGATGGTAAAAGCGCCGTCCGAGTGACTAAGGTTTGGTGTCTTTGGAATAATTCTCCCGGGGGTAGGAGCGGGAGGGTTGTGGAGTGTGAGGAGAGCAGCAAGCAAGGAAGGGAGCTGCTCCTCCCTTCTCTGGGTGGTGGGGAGCGCTGGGCTAAGCTCTGGGGCACAGGCTGGCTTCCAGGAGCTGGGAAGTCCTGTCTTACAGGATATGTTCCCAGCAGAGGCCCAGAGAGGGTGGCTGACTTTCCCAAAGTGCACAGCCAGGGCCATGGACCAAGTCTTCAGAATCCTAGCTGTTGCCGTTGGTTACTGTCCCCCGGGCTGAGGTCATGGGCCAGGCTCTCATGCCTCCCCAGCTGTGAAGTGATGGGTGGATTAGATCATTTTAAGCACTTCCCTGCTTCTCTGACTGCCTTTTCTTCTGCAGAGTGCTTTACCAGGAGAGAGAGAGAGAGAATGTGCGTGTGCATGGATGGGGGTGTGGCGTGACCTAATGCAATAACTTTATTAAGTCTTCCTTTCCTTTCCCAGGGAAGCGCAGAGACAGAAAAGCAATGGCATGTTGACCTCAGTGGCTCTGACAGCCATGAGCCAGGATCGATGTGGCTTTAGGGAGGGAGGTCAAGGGTCAGGGGAGAATCAGTGGGTTCTGGGGGTGCCAGGAGGGAGAGGTCCTGCTGGGGGCACCAGTGATGTCACTTTGGAGCTGGGTGGGGCTGCATTCCGTGGGCTGGTCCAGCAAAGCTGGAACCACCCTTCCGCAGGTCTCCAGGGCTGCCTCTCAGAACCTGACGCCCCCTGGGCAAGCAGCAGGGTGCTGAATGTCTCTTAGGGTCAGGGGCCAGCGGGTGGGGGTCAAGCTGGCGGAGGCCAGAGCTGTGCTCCCTGTGCTGTGCCTGGCACCCACTCTCTTCCTGGGGACGCAGACACTTGCCTGCTGAAACATCTTCATGTTGAGCCAAACCTCTGATCCTATGGCGTTCACGAGTTTAGCCTGAGAATTTAACACCATCCTTCTCAAGAAATAGTTTGTGGTATGTGTCACTCGAATTATCTTTTTGTGCCTGAGGAGTTTGCAAAGGAGTGTCTTTTTTATATATATTTCTTATTGATTTCAAAGAGGAAGGGAGAGGGAGAGAGAAAAACATCAACGATGAGAGATAATCATGGATCAGCTGCCTCCTGCACGCCCCACACTGGGGACCGAGTCCAGAACCCAGGCATGTGCCCCGACTGGGAATCGAACCCTGACCTCCTGGTTCACAGGTTGATGCTCAACCACAGAGCCACACCGGCCAGGTGGGAAGGAGCGTCTTTATCAGACAGCGTGCAGGGTGGGGACAGGTGTGCCGCGGTCGCCCTCCGCATAGGGCGCGTAACCTCTTGCGGGTCCCTCCCCCCAGGCCTGACCGACAAAATCCGGACTTAAGGGGACTTTTCTTTTGGACTTTCAACCTCGTTCTCACCCTCATCCCCGTGAGTGGTAGCATCCCCCCACCTGAGAGGGCTGCCAGGCTCAGGTAGCAGGTGCTGAGTGCCCCGTGGTGTGACCTTGTTTGATGATGATCGTGACGATGGTGATGACGATGATGATAGTAACATTCATGCTGGGAAGCGGTGTTCTGTGGGTGCTGGGCCCAGGCTCTGATCCGAGTCCTTGACACCTTCCCCCTTGTTTTCTCCTAGAACCGGCACCAGCAGGGCTGGCAGCGGGGCCTGTGGAAATGGTTTGTCACAAGCTCTGGACCCGACTGACCTAAACGTACGTGTCACCGGCTTGAATTCACCGCCCGGGCGGTGGGTGGGGGCGTGGGCGAGCATCTGCGGCTACCTCTGGGGAATGAGGGGGGCACGGGGTGATGTGGGCCACGACCACGGGCACGTGGGACGGAACTGGCGCAGGGAGCAGGATGCTGGATCGGCCTGGTGATGGGGCCCGGGCGGCTGCGCCAGGTCCGAGTGCCCTTGCCAGACGGACCGCTAACAGCAGGGCGTGGGCCGGGGTCTCTGCAGTGGGCCCCAGGGTGCCCAAGAGCCACCTGGGAAGCGCTCTGGTTTAGGGGTTTTCTGCTTCTCTCTTTAAAAAAAATCACTATAACATCGGCATAACTTCAAACTTACCGTTTTCACCACTTTTGAGTGGACTGTTTAGGGCAGTGATGGCAAACCTATGACACGCGTGACACGCGAACTCATTTTTTTGGTTGATTTTTCTTTGTTAAATGGCATTTAAATATATAAAATAAATATCAAAAATATAAGTCTTTGTTTACTATGGTTGCAAATATCAACACATTTCTCTATGTGACACAGCCCCAGAGTTAAGTTAGGGTTTTTCAAAATGCTGACACGCCGAGCTCGAAAGGTTCGCCATCACTGGTTTAGGGGCATTTAAGCACATTCGCACTGTTGTGCAACCATCACCTCCGTCCACCTCCAGGACGTTTCGTCTTGCAAATCTGAGTCTCTAACACCCGCCCCTGCCCCCAGGCCCTGGCACCGCCCGTCCTACTTTCTGTCTCTATGAGTGTGACTACCCGAGGTCCCTCGGAGAAGTGGCGGCATGCAGCTTGTCCTGCTGTGGCCGGCTTCTTCCACTCGCACGCTGTCCTCACGGTTCATCGCGTTGTGGCCTGTGCCAGCATGTCCTTCCTGCTTCAGGCTGCCTAGCAGTCCGCGGTATGGATGGACCACATTGACTTCATCCGTTCATCCACGATGGACGCTTGGTCTCTGGTGATCTCTTGCACGCCCTGAGTGAAGGCTCCAGGGAGGGGCCTCATGGTGCGCCTTTGGGGTGCTGTGGGGATGCAGGGGCTCTGGTGGTGGACTTCTTGGGCTCCTGCCTTGCCCTGAGGTGACTGGCCCAGCCTCACAGGCCGCTGCCCCTCTGGCTGCTCGGAGAAGAGCTGAGGCTGCTTGTGGGAGCTGGGGGGAGGGGGGGGAAGGTGGCGGGCGGCAGGGGGGCCTGGGAGCAGGGTCTCAGGCCAGGACCCAGGGTTCTGGCTGCAAGTGGCCACTGCACTCCCAGGGCTGCTACCGGGGTGAGAGGAGTACCCTCCAGCCGAAGGCCAGCCTCCTTCCCTGGTCAGCATAGCTGGTCTCCATGTCCTCGTCCTGGCGTCCTGCACTCCCAGGTCTGCCTGCAGCCTGGAGGTCACCCTCCTACCCCACACTCACTGAGCTTTTCAGTTCCCATCCCCTCACCGGCTCTGCTGCTTTGCAGGTTATTCCCACCCCTGGAATGCCCCCACTTCTCTCCTTCTGTAACCTCCCCCCCTCCTCAGGCAGGTCCCCGCCACCCCCTCCTCGCTTCAGTCACCAGCATCTATATCCTGTGCCCGACTCTGCCTCCCGCACCGATGCCCCGCCCTGCACATTTCATGCCAACCCGATGGCCTACACTCCCTTCTCACTTAACTTTAAAAACCAGGTCTCCCCTCTCCCCAGACCCGCCTGCTCCCGTGTTCCTGTAGGGCAGGGTAGCCAGTCAGCCAGGCCAGACACACACTCACCCCTAGAGGCACCCCGGGAGCTGGACTGTGGGCTCCAGGAGAGCAGCGGGTAGGGCACATGGATCTTGTTCATCACTGTGTCCCCAGTGCTCAGTGCACACAGTAGGCTCCTACTGGATAACCACTGCCCGCATGAGTGCAGCCAAGGCCTGTAGCAGGGTGGTTCCAAGCAGGGCTCGGCAAGGCCTGGACCCAGGCTCAGAGGACCCGCCAGCACCTCCCGGCCGGGTGGCCTGGTCAGACACTAGCTCCCCTTCATGGCCCCGGCTTGTGTGACCGTGTAGTGTGGCTGCCACCGCACCAGGTGGCTGTGAGGTTCCAGGAGGTGACATGCATCAGGACTAGCCTCGGCACAGGGCTAGCCACGTGCCTGGTGCACAGCGTGTGGGGTGGGTGGTGGGTGATGGCGTCTCCCTCACGGAACCTGACTGCCAGCTTTTCATTCCTAGACCAGAATTTCCCCTCTGGCCCCACGGGAGGTCAGGAGCTCCAAGGCGAGGCCCCTCTCTTGAGCTGTTATTGGGCCGCTTGCCATTTATTCTTTAACTCACACATTTATTGAGCACCTACTGTATGCAGCCAATCTACTGGGGCCGAGGACACAAAGGATGGAGAGGGGGTTTCGCTCCATCTCTGTGTAGTGAGAGAGGCAGGTCCTGTGATGGCCGTGCCTAGGGCATTATGGGGACGGTG